TTTAATTAGATTGAAAGAACACTGTAAATAAACAGTGACTCCAATGCTCATTTTTTAGATTTATTACTTGCATTTTAGATGTATTATTTACATTTGTAAACCTAAAACCATAAACAATAAATAAAAACAACTCCAGGAAACCTGCTAAAATTAGGTAAGTGATATAGGCTACTGTAAAATGTTTTCATATTCGTTTCCATTCATTTAACTCAAACAATTTCTGTCATTTCTACTCAGTTTTCTTAATCAGTATATTTTTGAACACTGCAGTTTGGCACCACTTTCATTTTACTTAAAGCAAAAACAAGTTTAAAAGTTGTAATTGTTTAGCCTACATTAAAAAAAAAATAATTTTAAGATAAAGAAAAACATCTTAACGCCTTCATGCAAATTCATTCATTAATCCAGAGTTTAATTGCTTAAGGCTGTATATAGCGTATTGCTTAAATAGAGATTCATGAAAAAGGCATGTTTGTATTGCATTACAAAACAACGCGGCGTCCTGTATAAAATAAAGAGCTGCTTGTTGACTTAGGTTAGTATCCTTGCATTAAACATGCTGGCATTAAATAATTAAAAAACGCTATCGACTGTCTCGATCCTTTTACTTTCGATACACATTCAGCGACGAGCCTCACCAGTCCCGCCGTTATCTATCATTAATCACAACGATATGTAAACTACAGCCCCGAAAACACACAACACGCTCAGCAGTTCACCAGCCCCTGCGAAAAGTTTGTGAAAGTGGCCTGACGTCACACTCCCACAATGCTCGCGCGCCCCATAACTCTGCTGCTGCAGCCTGAGGAGCGCGAGACTCTCAGGCCCCGAAAAAAGAAAAATTAGAGAAAAAAATTGGAAAAAAATAATAAAACAACAGATCAAGAGGTGAAAGACCGGGAACGGTGGTGTGGGGCTCCCACGGTAGGTTTGCGCTTAGTCGGTGCTGGAATGTGACGGCGGTTCCTTGTGAAATTGACTAATGCGGCGCTGGAAAGTTTTTGGTGGCAACTGCTCGTTTTTTTTTTTCTGCAAGTACTCATAATGTAGCTGCACGCTCTGATGTGTGCATGTTTTTTTAATGAGATCCCGATAATTAATGCAACTCATTCGGCCGCTGATCGACATGGCAGATGATACACGAGTGTTTCATAGTAATAACACGGTTGATATTTTCTCTCGAGCCGACGTCATTTATTTTTGCCTTATTTTTGTAAAACATTGGTGAGGCTTCGGGTATTTAACTTTTAATTGGTGCGCGTTCGCTCGCGCTTCGCAAACTTCATCGAGAAATACAGTGCAGATGCTTTTTGTTTACAAACCGATACATTTGCATTTGATCGACCATCGGCTCGGCTGTGTCTATTGATGTTCAGTGTGACTTTGGAGCGAATAGTTGAATTTTAAGTAATTTCTGAATATTTATGTCTGTGCTGTGAGCACACACGAGCTGGAGCACCGTTCCTGTTGAGTTTCAAACACTGGTTTATACAAACGCGTCTGTCTAAGAATAGTTCACTGCTTGATTTGAGAAAATCACACTTGGGCTGTAAATATACAACTATTTTCGGCTGGTTTGTCTCGTACTATAACTCTACCTCCGTGCTGCTATGGCTTATCTGCTGCTCGGCATTTGTTTGCCACAGATCGGTTGTTCCTGGGCGGATTGTGACTTTTCTATAATGCCGTCTTGTGTGAAAAACTGTTTGTTTGTGTATTCCTATCAAGAGGTGCTCAACAAACAAGAGTGTCAAGCGGTGGGTTGAGGTTGGGGGGCTCCGTGTTTTAATGTTCATTTACATATGGCTATGTAGAGATCATTAATCGAATCACTCTGCTGAGAAATGATCACATCATGTTCAGTAGTGAGACAAAAGTGAACTTTAACACTGTAAACAAATATATCCCACTAAATTGAAAACATAAGTTTAAGTTCTGCATTTAGTTAGAGAGTAAAATCAAAGCGGTTCTTCAGTCACAACTTGAGTGATTAGTTTATTACACTTTTATAACCACATTGAATTGAAGAAAATATAGTTAAAACTGATCTAATTGAGGACAATGGCATGTATTGTTGTAACAAGTTCATCGAAAGACTGAAATATGTTGTCAGAATGATTAAAACATGTTTACAGCACAGAGAGCGCACTGTAAAGTTTTAAGATGTAAAACTAAAAGTTCATTTTTGTTATTTGGTCGCAATTATGCTTATGAAATCTACCAATCATCCACCAGTAAAGGTGTTGCACCATCCCTAAACACATGCAGATGTGTGACATCTCTTGAAAAAATGATACCTTAAAAAAAATTCATCCCACTAAAATTGAAAACTTGAGTTTAATTGGTGTTTAAATATGATGTGAAATCAAAGGCACAATCTGCAAGTTTCTTAGTTTATCAAACTGTTTTTGACTCTTTCGAATATTGTTACTAATAAGGGAAATGCAGTTAAAACACTTGAAGTGTATGAAATTAAAATTAAATTGCAGAAATGGCTGTGAGGAGTTAAAAAAATCGTTTAAAATGTGTTTTTGCATTGCCCATTGTAGTGGTTAAAGGTACAGAAATTGTAATTAAAGTTCATTTGTCATTGCTGTTGTAAATGAGCATAACTGCGGCCAATCTTTAATTCACCAGTCAGCATGATTGCAACACTATAGTCACATATTCAAACACCTGTAGCTGAGTGATATCTTTTTCTCAAATATATGCAGTGATGTTTTAAACATACATTACAGAGTGAAAGCTTTTCATTTGCTTTGCCTGTTTTTTCTCTGGCTCTTGTTTATGTTGTGCTAAAGTTACTTTTTGTTGCTCTGTGCTTTGAAAATAATCAAAATGAGATGTTTCACTTTGGCTGGATTCATTGGATGTATGTGAAAAGATGGCTTTCTAACAGTGATTGATAAAGAACAGGTTGCGACGAGCTCTTGTTTGGTGGTTGTGCTCCATCATGGCCCTCTACTTCCACTGCCTCGAGCTACATAATAAGGAAATGGAAGTGAGATCGTCACGAGACAGTGCTTTTGTTATTGACATTGCATGTTGAAACGCATATTGTTATGTTGAGACCGTATAGTTTTTCAGCATTGGCTCTGGTTAGACGGTCTTTTGCTTCTGAGGGTCTTTACAAGGGTTTGACTGATTAATGAGTTTATCTGAGGGTTTGACAGGGGTTTGAGTGAGAACAATTCTAACAAATATTTCTGGTTCTCGCTCCATCTCAGATGTAGTTGTATTTTGTTGAGCTTGTCATTTTTTGACACATCAATGTAAGTTATTTCAAACATTTTCCTCGACATCTTTTAAAATGACTTTTTCTGCTTTGATCGTTTTTTTTTAGATGTTGTGGGACATTTTAAACAAACGTTTCAGCAGTTTAATTTTCATGTGTTCTCTGAAAAGGCGTCTTACATGCTTGATTCAGTGTGCGAGTTAGAGAGAGAGACACAGAGCATGTGTATCAAGGGGGGTTTCTCCTCTGAAAACATCCCACAATTCCATGCTCCTCGGTGGGTAACAGGCTGATTATCATGAGAAAGCAGGGGTTAATAGGTAGGACAGGCTTTGGAGAGCACAAACGCTACTTAATACGCAGTGTAGAATGGGGATCAGCCCTCATCTGAGTCCTTATATCCTCCACTTATAGTAGTGAGGAGTGAACAGGGACGATGCTGTGCCTGAGATTTGTGCCGAGTTATATTAATATAGCTATTTATTTTGCATTATGATTTAAGTGTTTTGTGACAGTAATATGGGCTTGTGGTTCAGTCGATGAGTTTGTTTGTATATGCGGTCGCAAGGATATAATATGTGCTTGTGTTGTGTCTAAATCCATGTCTAAAATGGGCACTGGGGAGTGTTTATGTGGGCAGTATGAACAGTAGCTGACCTGGTCACTAAGTTGCCTCATAAAAAATGGAGGAGAGAAATAGAGAGATAAAATCAGGCCAAGTTCACAAGGACTTTATAACTCCTCCGAGCGCCTTAACACCAGATTTGATTCTTATCAGAAAATTATTCATGACTCAGAACTGACAGAAACATGAAAAATCGTTCGTTCAGGATTCAGATTCGCAACGCCTGTAGACCTGAATGATTGTAGAAATAGAATTTTGCCAGTGGTGTTTTTAAGGCTACTTAAATATTATTAATTACAATAAATGAAAAACAATGTATTGCACGTTAAATGTGTATGACGGATATTAATTAGCGTAGAAAGTTGTAGAAATCAACTCCAAATATGCTATAAACTTTTACTGTGTGTAATAACATTTTTGTTTATTAATAAATGTTGTAGAGTTGTAATTTATTGTTGTCACAAAAAGAAGTCCTCGTATATTAAAGTACTTTTAAAGTTATTTTTCATATAAAATCTGGTAAATTTAGCAGAGATGGTAAACTTATGAATATGTCATCAAACAAAAAAACAAAAACAAAAAAATGAAGATTGATTATAACAATGATAATGTGCAAATTAATAATACATTTATAATGTTCCATTGACAAATATTGTACTCTTGCACAAAGATTTTGATCTTAAAATGTTAAATTTGTTGATTTAAATGAAATCATTCTCAGAAACTGATTTGAATTTGTTTAGATTGTAATGTAAGGAAGCCTAAATATTTGGTTCATGTGGTAACATCTAAATTAAGTTTTATTCTAGCCAAAAATATTCCAAAATGTATGACAATAGTTTTAACACACACACACACACACACACACACACACACAACATTATTTAAAAGGAAACTATTTCAAACTTTCAGGTAGAAGTCAGGTAGCTCCTTAAGGCAACAAAGTGGCATCGTTTTGTTTTTAAAGTGTGGAAAGTCATAAATCGAATTGTTTATTATTTAGTCTGAATCTACTTATTTGATGCATTTTACACTGTCCTTAAACATTTTCTGAAGTATATATTTTAAGTTCCCTCATCAATCAGCATTTGATATGCACATGATGTAGCACAAAGAAGATAAAAATGAAAGAAAGGAAAATAAAGTTTTAAGGGACTAAACTGTATGTTAGAGGACAGAACAGCGTTCAGAGGGGGTATAAAACAACAATTTCACCAATGGCAAATCCAAGCTCATTAATTGCAGGAGAAAGCGTCATCAAGTAAACCGAACAAAGAGTAATAGAAAAGAAACCCACACATAAATAGTACATGTGTAAATACATGCTAATGTTCTTGACAGCTTTGCAAAACAAGTCCAAACACTAAGTACACATGCCACACACACCGCAACCAAGTCGCACACGCACAAGAAAAGAGTGTCTTTTTTTTCTCTTTGCTGGCATGCATTCTGACTGCACTTGCAGTATGCCGTGCCTTTAGATAGTAAGAAGACGCTAGATGTTTGAAACGCATAGCACCACTGTACACGAGTGAAGCTGTGCTTTTGAAAGCAGCCGGCCAGGTGTAGCTTTTCAAGGCCCGAGTATCCATCACTGAACACCACTTATGCTGCAACCCCTCCTTCTCTTCCTTCAGATCCCCCTCGTCCATTTTTCCACCCCAAAGATGGGTCTTCTTCCTCTCCGAGCTACTTTCTCACTCGTTTACTGTCTCTCTGCTATCTTTGTTGTGAATTTATTGGAAATTAACTGTTTTCTTTACTGTGCAGTAAATTCGTAACATCTTTTAATGTGATTACACTGATAATAAAAAACTAAAAATAGTCAAAAGATGCCATTAAATAAACAAAATAGTCAAAAGATGCTATTAAATAATAAATTATATTGGAAGCTCACTAGAAATTATAGAAATGATCCCACACTTTAAAAAACAGTTACATTAAGCAACTATTTTTACCTGATCTAACCCTCAAACTTGGTTTTGTGTAACAATTAGATTTAGATAAATAATATTTTTGAATTGTTTAAAATAAATAATTTAGGTATTACCTGCACATTAAAAACGTCGGTTTTCTGTGCATCTTTCAAGTGACAGGCACAGAGTTTGATGCAAAAATATAAATTAAAAAGTCAAAAATTTTACATGAGAAAATGATTGAGAAATAGAAATAAAACCAAAATATATGAAATTCAAGCACTCATTTATCCAAAGCAACAGCGACACCATGAAGGTTCAGAGGAGGGCAGCATCTTTTGAGCTTGGTATGTTTTCATTGAGTTTGTGAGGAGAAATAGTGAATTACAGGCGTGAAAGTCACATGTCATGAGGCGGTACTTCTGTGTCACTGTGATTGGCTGATCACACTTCCAATTAGATAATGCACACCTATTATGTGCACAACTGTTCTTGGCTGGTTGATTCATGAATGACCATCCACTTGGACAGCTCAACTTTTTACTAACATCTCAAACGACAAATAAAAACGAGCATAACATCATGACCTGTAATATGAGTAATATGCGTATAAAAATGCATATTCATCAGTATTCGTTATCATTAGCTGTAGTCTTCAGTCTTCAGCATGATGCTGTTTACTTCTGCATGAGCTGTTTTTTATTAGTATGAATATGAGAACTCTGTACGACACTAAAAGGCTGATAAAATGTAATTCTGTAGCATTAAGCGAGGGCATGGATTTGACGGTAAATTATAACAGTATGAGAAAACAAACAATCAAAAACAGTCATATGGAAAGGATGGGAAATAAGATAAACTTTATGAACCTCAAATGGATACCACAGCGCTCACACACACACACAGTCATGTACGGAGAATCCAAAAGACCTTGAGCGTTATTAGATGACTCAGTCACAGAGAGGAAAAAGAAAGCTGGATGATGAGGGAGAGAGTCACAGAAGAGGGCTGGAGGAAAACATTTGTGATTCACGTGGTCGTTTCAGTTGTATCCTACACATAATGTAGAAAAAGCAATGTTTTGCCTTAGAGGGAGGGTTTGTTTAGTTGTGTATTGATGTACAGATTAGGCTGTGTAAGTGCTGGTTATCCAGTGAGATGTCAGGTGTTTTCACTAGTTCCTCTGTTCTCCGCAAGTGAAGAAGGAAAAAGAAAGTTGTGTATGCTATGATTTGATTGGTAATCATATAATGAATTATAATGGCAATCAAACAAACATTTATGAAAAGAAGCTGGTATGTGACACCCTAACTTGCATTGTTTCTTAATTTTCTTACTTATGCATTAACTATAATTTAGTTAACTATTAACTGAACTATACAGAATAACGACAAATTGGTTAGACTAAGGGATCTAAAATATGGTCATGTAGAAGGCATAAACATGTGCTTTAGAAGTGCTAATAAACAGCCAATATGCTAGTAATGTGCATGCTAATAAGCAACTAGTTAATAGTGAGAACTGGTCACTAAACTAAAGTGTTACTGAGAAAATGTATGAAATGAAGAATCTTTAGTTATGCTTAGGTTGAGCCTTAAGTCTTAAGCAAAGTACTCTTTTCTTGAAAGCTACAAACTGTATGACTTAAATATGTTACATTTAAGTAATTATTTACTTAAATATGTTTACTTAATATACCTTTAATACATAATATATTTTGTATTGTTTTTATTTATCATAGTTTTATATTATATTTAATATGAGTGGTTCAAAACCAAAGGTCAATTTTGTTGTTATTGTTTAAATGAAGTCTTTACCTAAATTATGCCAAAAAAACAAAAAATATTTTTTTGTATTTCTCTCCCTCCTTCAGCTGCTCCCATTAGGGGTTGCCACTAGGGCTGCACGATTAATCGAATGCGATTGTCATGCGCATTTTGTTAGTAAAGCCGGTTCTGTAATCAACAGGAAATCATCGTCACGTGCTTTCAGATGGAGCAGAATTTACTACACATAGCCGTAGTTCACTGACAAGTTAAGGCAAAAAAATTGCAGATGATTTTATTGCGCGATTATGAAATCGAACACAGAACCGTGCTTCACTGAAATATACGCACGACAATCGCAGCTTCTGTCGAATCGCGATTCCATTTCGATTTATCGTGCAGCCCTAGTTGCCACAGTGGAAATATTATATTTTATATTTTCTATATTAATTGTATTTTTATATTATGTTTAATGAGCGGAAAAAGCAAAAAGCAAAGTCAGTTTTTTTTTGCTTTTTTTTTTTACATTTAATCCATGTTTTGTTGCTGGTTTTTAACATTTAACACATCAACCATCTAAGGTCTAAATTTTAGACCTTAGATGGTTGATGTGTTAAATGTTAACACATAGACTCTAAAATATTATTTTGTTGTTGTTGTTGTTGTTTAAACAAGGCTTTTACCTAAGAGATGCCTAAACTCTTCTTTCTCCTTTCTTTGTTTGTTGAAGTACAATTTTCATCAAATAAGTATATACAGTGGGTACGGAAAGTATTCAGACCCCCTTAAATTTTTCACTCTTTGTTATATTTCTGTCAATATGGGGTGCTGTGTGTACATTAATGAGGAAAAAAAATTAACTTAAATGATTTTAGCAAATGGCTGCAATATAACAAAGAGTGAAAAATTTAAGGGGGTCTGAATACTTTCCGTACCCACTGTATACAAGGTGATAATTTTATTTAGTATCTTACGATCATAGACTCTCATGATGTATTCTGGGGCTTTATGAATGCAACTACAATCTTTAATTTGGTATATAAGGGACAATTTCTTGCAAATATTTTCTTATTTCTCTCCCCCTCATTCACTTTGTGAAGCTCTGTAAATTGGCTTTATGCTTCTGGAGCTCTGCCCACATCTCTTCATTAATGTGTGTGTTTTTACTCCAGGTTTTCATGCTGGTATAATTGGGCTTCCTGACGTGGGACCTGTATGCAAGTGCATGTTTGTGTGAGCAGCTTAGTTTGTGAGTGAAACTGAAAATCAGAGAGCCTGTTTGAACAGGAGCTATTTAAAGTTGTAGATGAATGTCTGGTGATATAATATGAGTTTGATGGAGAAATGTTTCCTGGCAGCACATGAGAGTGACGTCTCATTGTGTGCGGTCAGGTGTGTGGTCCACCGAATCCATTGTTACATTTTCAGCTGGAACTGAGTGAAGAATCGCTAGAAGATCTTGGTGTCTGTATTCACTCAGAAAATATATGAGTGGAGGAGGAAAGAAAAATAATGAAAGGAATCATGTATCATGATGTGACTACTTTACCAAAGCTCCGCAATTGCTTTCACTCTCTTTTACACTTAAACAGACATAATTAGCTGTCTGTTTATGGAAAATGCTTCAGTTCTCTCACTTTTTCTCTCACTATAAATGTGATTTTTTTTTTTGTATTTTATTGGCATTTTTTGATAAACAATTATCAAAAATGGTAAGCACGGTAATAGAAGTATATCTTTAATCAGTATATCGCTAAAATGTAGTGATAGGGAGAAATAAGGGCCAGTAATGGTTATAAAAATAAGAAGAAACTGTACTGAGATTTTTAGGTTGTTTAAAATGTACTTGACGTGATAACATCTAAATTAATTGGTTTTATTGCAGTCAGCAATGACTATGACTGAATAATCCTGACTGTCATTTTCAAGAAAAATGGCTCCTAAATGCAACTACTGTACATTTTTCAAAATGCATTAAATTAAAAAATAAAATAAAATAAAGCAGTAATATTTAATATGAAAAGTAATTTTTAAGGGCCAGGACAGGAAGAAATAGAATGTGTACATTTTCAAAACTGCACAAAATAACAGTAGTAAAATAAAAAGAATACAGTATGCATTCAACAACAACTTGAATGTCACGATCAACAGTATTCAAGGCAAATATTATATTTATTATGACTCAAAGTATTTTTAAGGCTTAGGAAGGACAGGAAGTAAAAACAGGATCAAAAAATAAAAATAAAATAAGAGTGTAACACCTGTTGAATGTGTTGATCGACAGTATTAAAGTCAAATATACTATTTAATATGAAGTCCTCAAATGTAATTTTTAAGGATCAGGACAGGTAGAAATCACTCAAGATAACAACTGCATATTTTCAAGACTACATGAAAAACCTAATATAATAAAAATGCTTTTATTTTTTATTGTCATTTCTGAAGGTGTGCAGCTCAAAAATGAGTTTTTCTGCAGCAGATGCTCCACAGTAACACTCGCATTGATCCTTTTCGGAAAATCTTAAAAAATATGTGGTCTCTCCCTCTCTTTCTTCCATGTTTTCTCAGGCTAACCACAGCTCACTCCAGTGGCAACATAGCAAAATTGTAGATGCTGATTTCCTCTCAAAGGGATAGAGAGAGAAAAGGAGAGAACGAAGGGAAAGAAATGAAAAAGAGAGCGAGAGAGAAGCTCTGGTGTTAACAAATGACCTCTGTTGCTTGCTTTCTTCCTCTCTTTCACTCTCCCTCCCTCTCTCTTCCTCACAAAGTCCAGAACAACAACAACAGGAGGAGAGAGAGAAAGAGAGAGAGAGAGAGAGATGAAAGTAGAGAGAGGACTGTGGGTCTCTTTCTGTGCCCTCCAGTGGCAGCGTGAAGTTTTCAGTTTGATTGAAGGGCCCTTTTCTCTGCTGTGTGGTGTGAAAGCTGTCCTAATTGAATGATAAAGTGGCCCGAGATGGAGTCCAGTGAATAGGCAACAATACACAGCCTGTGTGTGGTAGAGGGGTTTTTTTGGTTCTCATCCAGGCCACTCTCTCTCTCTTTCTTTCTCTCACTATCTCTCTCTCTCTTGCCCCACTGTGAGTGGGGGTCCCATTATCAAGCGCTCTGCTAGATTCGGTCACATGACTCCTCCCTGCCCACTCACCCGGCCCCTCCCTCCCCTGCCGAAGAGCAGCCAATCAGGCGGCAGCAGGGATATTTCTCAGCGACCATGTGGTTGAATGCCCTCATTTAGCGAGCAGCTGACTCACAGCACATGTCTTTCTCTATCACACACTTCGCCTGCCGGACACTGGCGAGGGAGAAAATTCCATGTCCATGCACTTTCAGCGCGCGCCGTAAACAGTCCAGACTGGCTCTTCGAGTCTAACTGTAGTGGGACCGTATCCGATGAAAGTGAAACGCTCTCTTATGTTTAATCAGAGGCAGATGTTGTTCATCTTTTGATGCAATTATTGTCTAGTTCACTGGCGGGTCACTAGCTGATCTTAGGGTAACACTTTTAGTTTTATACCCATTATATGTTATTTATATTTATCTGCAGTTACTAGATCCTTTATTTTTATGTTCAGTACAAAAATGCACCGAATGAACATCAATGTAACCATCCATTAGAGTGTGTTTATGCAGATGTTCTGCTGTAACTGTAATTTGTATATATAAAAAAGGCTAGATTTAATTTATAAGCTTGTTTTTATAGCACAGATTAGGGTTAAGGAGTTTTTGAGGTGTTAAAATGATTAATGCAAATTTTCCCTCAAATTAAAGACTACATTTATTCAAGATGGAATCAAAAGGCAATAAACAAAAAAAAGATTTAAAAAAAATTTGTATCACAAATGTGCCTCTAAGAAAAGTCCACTCGATCAAAATTTATTTTTTGTTTGTCATCTTTTCAAGGTTTCTACATCATTTATAATATTCTTGGAAGTGGTTCGTAACGTCTCTTGAAATTGTTTGTAAATTCACTAGGTTTTTTGACCCAGCTCTGTTCAGTTTGTGCTGTCAAATAAATATAGGGGTATATATTTTTTTTATCTACAAGGACAGTGTCTTGATGAATGTTACAGTAACTGTGTGCTGCTGCCTTGCTAGGGTCTGTTTGCACATGAGCTCTTTCTCTCTTTAGCATACAAAGCTGATCTGTTTGGTTAGCAAAGACAAGCACAATCTGAGAATTTTTTTCTATTAATGAGTACATGAGACTAGTGTCAATTGTAATTTTTTCCCCTTAATGGACAGACAAAAATACCTGGACTTGTTTGATATAAGAAACATGCATGTGTGACAATACACAGTAAGATTATTAAGATTAAGAAAAATTAATACTTTTATTCAGCCAAGATGGGACAAAGATGGGCATAAAATTGGACCGTTTTGTATACAAAATATTTTTTATTTCAAATAAGTGCTGCTGGTATTTAAATATTGTATATTTGTTATTAAAATATTTAGACTTCATAGCAATATAAAAAAAAAGTTTTATGATTTTTTTAAATATAGAGTAATTGTCCCTGGACTTCTTTAGAATGATGGGAAATAGTGGGTTAAACCAATTCATAATCCATAATCAAAACAAGGTCAGTT